TTGCTATAGCAACAGTACCTTTTTCACAAAAATCTTGTCATTCTAAAAAAACATAGAACTAACCAAACCTTCAAAAATAAAACATTGTATTTACATATGTACATCGTTTAAAGGCTATGACAGTCTTCAACATCAAATTCTAGGAATGAGTGAGGTGTACCACAGATGTGGTACTTGTGATTTCTGTAGCATCATTATAGGAGTTTACTCTTTGACCATTTACTTTGAAAATGGATCCATTGTTGGGGTCAATAAGTTCCACTACTCCATGATGATGGACTTCGTAAACCTCAAATGGCCATGTCTACATGGATCTTAGTTTTCCTAGAAATTTTTTGAACCTTGAGTTAAAGAGCAATACCTTTTGACCTGCTACAAGTTCTCTCTGAGAGATCCTTTTATCATGCCATTTTTTAGTTTTCTTTTTGTAAATCTTGGCATTCTTATATGCTCAATCCATCAACTCTTCAAGCTCATTGATTTGTAGCCTTCTTCTTTCACCTGCAACATTTACACACATATTAATCTCTTTTCAAAGACCAAAAAGCTTTGTGCTTAAGTTCTAGTTGTAAATGGCAAGCTTTTCCGAAGACTAGCTTGTAGGGATACATTCCAATGAGGGTTTTATAGGCAGTCCTATAGGCCCAAAGAGCATCATCAACTTTAAAGGACCAATCCTTCCTTGTTAGTTTTACCGTTTTTTCTAAGATACTCTTGATCTCCCTGTTTGAAAGTTCAGCTAAGCCATTTGTTTGAGGGTGATATGTAGTAGCAACCCTATTGTAGTAGCAACCCTGTGGCTTATGTTGTACTTTTCAATAACTCCTTTCATCATGTTGTATACAAAATGGGTACCGTCATTACTAATCATAGCTTTTAGAGTACCAAATCTTGTAAAAATATGCTTATGCAAAAATTTGACCATTGTCTTTGCATCATTGGTGTGACATGTAGCTTATACCCATTTGGATACATAATCTACAGCCACTAAAATATACTGATAGTTTCTAGGCATGGGAAATGGTCCCATAAAGTCTATCCCCCACACATCAAAGAGTTCAACTTCAAGAATGTCATTTAAAGGCATTTCATGTCTTCGGGAGATAGATCCAACCCTTTGACATTCATTGCACCTTTTGACAAAACTATCAGCATATTGAAATAGGGTGGACCAAAAAAATTCATATTTTAAGACTTCGGCTGTAGTTCTTTGGCCATCAAAATGGCCACCATATGCAGCAGCATGACAATGCTGCAATACTGTAGGCACATCCTCATGAGGTATACACCTTCTAAGGATCTGGTCAGCCCCTAATTTAAACAAAAAAAATGTCATCCCATAGATAACTCTTTGCATCATGGAGTAACTTTTTTTTTTGGTTTTTATTTAGCTATGGTGGTATAATCTCAACAGCCAAAAAATTTGCAATGTCTGCAAACCATGGGACTGTAGAATGCTGTAGCATTAAGAGCTGCTCATCTAGGAATTTTTCATTGATTCCACTAGAGCTTGATTCTATTTTCTCTAATATTGACAAGTGATCAACAACTTGGTTATTTATTCCCTTCCTGGTCACTATTTCAATGTCAAACTCTTGTAGCAAAAGATCCCACCTAATTAACCTTGGCTTGGCATCCTTTTTAGAAATCAAATACTTAACGGCAACGTGGTCTGTATGAACAATAACCTTAGTCCCCATTAAGTAGGATCTAAAATTTTCAAATGCAAAGACCACAACCAAAAGTTCTTTTTTAGTGGTTGTGTAGTTTATTTAAGCATCATTCATAGTCTTACTAGAATAGTAGATGAGATGGAAAATCTTTTTTTTCATTTGGCCTAAAATGCACCACCTGCCCATTCACTTGTATCACACATTAATTCAAAAGGTTTTCTCCAATCTGGTGTGACAACAATAGGGACAGAAATCAAAGCCTTCTTAAAAGTGTCACAAAATGATTTACATTTTTTGCTGAAATTAAAAAGTTGGTGATGGTGCAGTAATAGACCGAGAGGTTTGGAAATTTTGTAAAAGCCTTTTATAAACCTTCTGTAGAAACCAACATGACCTAATAAACTTCTTATTCCTTTTACATATGTGGGCTCAGGTAGACTCTCTATAACCTCTAACTTGGATTTGTCTACTTCTATTCATCTTCTTGTGATTACATGTCCTAACACAATACTTCCTTAACCATGAAGTGATATTTCTCCAAATTTAGAACCAAATCTTCCCACATCTCTTAAGACCTTGTTCTAAATTATTCAAAATTTCCTTATAAGATCCATAGACAGAGAAGCCATCCATGAACATCTCCATAAAGGTTTTGAACATATCATAGAAAATGAGCATCATGCATCTCTAGAATGTGGCAGGAGCATTGCATAGTCTAAATGGCATTATTCTAAAAGCAAAAGAACCAGAGGAGCAAGTGAAAGTGGTTTTCTCTTGATCCTTTGGTGCAATAGCAATTTGATTATATCCTGAATAACCATCTAAAAAGTAATAATATTCTTTTTCAGCTAATCTATCCAACATTTGATCTATGAAAGGCAAGGGGAAATGGTCTTTATGGGTTGCTTTGTTAAGCTTCCTATAATCCATGCATATTCTACATCCTGACATTATCCTAGTTGGGATTAGTTCACTCTTCTCATTTTCTATTACAGTCACACCTACCTTCTTAGGAACACTTTGGACATGACTTACCTAAGAGCTACTAGCTATAGGGTAAATAATGCCAACATCAAGCCATTTCAAAATCTCTTTCCTAACCACTTCTTCATCACAGGACTCAATCTCCTTTGAGGTTTAACAGAGCTAAAGTCCTTGTCTTACAAAATGATTTTGTGTTGACAAATAGATGGACTTATACCTTTTAAATCAAAGATGGTCCAACCTATGGCTTTGGTATGTAATGAAGAATTTTTAATAACTACTCTTCTTGTTTTTCTTTTAAAGATGATGAGATGATCACAGATAGCTTGTTATCTTCTCCCAAAAATGCAAACTTAAAATGGACAGGTAGTTGCTTCAATTCTAAGTCTGGTAGTGATTATGTGGACAACAGTGGGTTCTATTTTGGTTCATCTTCTAATAGCTCATATGCAGCATCTCATCACTGCCCTCTAAATCACTATCCTACTCACCACTATTTTCAAATGGTTCTATCTTTTCACCTAGGATTTCCTCTAAAGCTTCCTCATTACACCATGACTCTATAGCACCAACCACTGAACAATCCTCTTTCTTCTCAAGATATTTCATTGAGTTAAAAACATTAAAAGTGACATTTTGATCTTGCATTCTCATAGTAAACTCTACTTTTTGGACATCAATAAAGTTTCTACCAGTGGCTAGAAAGGGTCTTACTAACAGAATAGGGGTGTCTTTATCTGCCTCAAAGACAATGATTATAAAATCAATAGAGAATATGAACTTGTCCACTAGTACCAAAACATCCTCTATCTTGCCTTTAGAAAATGATATGGATTTATCAGCTAACTCAAAGGTAATAGTGGTTGGCCTAGCCTATCATATCCTTAAGGTATTAAACACAGATAAGGGCATAAGATTGATGCTAGCACCTATATCGCACAAGGCTTTTCCAACATGCTTCCCTCCTATTAAACAAGGAATTGTGAAACTTTCATGGTCTTTAAGCTTATGGGGAAGTTTGTTTGATAAGAGGGCACTACATCCTTCAGTAAGGGCCATAGTCTCATATTCAGTCATTTTCTTTTTCTTACTCAATATATCTTTCAGAAATTTGGCATAACTGGGCATAGTCTTAATTGCCTCCATCAGTGGAATATTGATGTGCAATTATTTGAATACATCCAAGAAATTTTTGGACCGAACCTCATTCTTTTAGTTTCTTAACTACTATGGATAAGGAACATAGGATGGAACTGGGTTAATCACTGATTTCTTAGGATTTTGGACAGTAGACGTAGTAGGTGTACTATCTGCTGGTTTGGATGGTGGTGTATGAACATGGTCTTTGGGTGGTGGACCTTTGACAACACTATCTGGACTTGGCTTTGTTTTGTTTGGTTTTGTTTCACTAGGAAAAAGCAATGAGAAATCTGTTTGGTTTTGTTTCACTAGGTTTAGAAACAACTAGAGGGGTTGCTGCAGCAATAGGTGGTATTGCTGCAACAATTGGTCCAGCTTCTATAGTGGCCTTTTGTGGAATTCCTAATATATCTTTTCCACTCCTTAAGGTCACAACTTTCACATGTTCTTTGTTCAGTATCTTAGGAATCTCAATATCTACTCCTTAACTCCAGTGTTATTTGACCAATCTGTGTTTCCAAAGTCCTGATGTTTGCATTTTAATGACTCATCATTGAGTTGGTTTGATTTATAAAACCTTTTAACAATGTCTCCAAAGAAATGGATAAATCACTTTGTTGGTTTGATTTGTTTTGAAAAATGGACTAATGCTAAAAATGAGCAAGTTGATTTTGAGAAACAGTTGGTTGAAACCTTGTATTTGCTCTTTTACAATTGGTGAGTTTAAAACATGAAATATTCTAAGAGAAATTACGATGGTTTTTCCAACTAGAGTTGTAGGTGTTTGAAAACTGGGAAGGTCTGTTGTGCACATAATTCATAGATTTAGAGTTAAGGCTGCATTGGTCAAAAGTATGACCTTCACCACAGTACACACATTGGACAAACAAGGATTCAGAAACAGTTGTTGTGGAAACAGTGTTAGCAGTAGGGATAGCCAAGTTTTTCAACAAGCTAGTCATTGTTGTTAACTATGCTATAAGAGCTGTATAAGGATCTATTTCATGAGTGCCTGCTGTTTCTCTGGGTACTATTGCTTTAGGATCTGCGCAATGACCACTGTTGTTAAAAATTATCTCTAAAATATCAAAACCAACATTGTAGGTACTGGAAGTAAAGGTTCCACCTACAATAGCATCCAACATTTTTTTAGCAATGGTGTTAAGACCATTGTAGAATGTTTCCAGCTGTATGCAGTAGGGTATGCCATGATGTGGGAATTTTCTTAATAGTTCCTTGTACCTCTCCCAAGCATCAGAAACTACCTCATCGTCCAGTTGTTTAAAAAGACAAATTTCATTTCTGAACTTGGCACTCCTGGTTGGAGAAAAATATTTTTTTAAAAATTTCTCAGTCATCTCATTCCATGCGGTGACTGAGTCTGGTTGTAAAGAGTTGTACCACACTTTGGCTTTGTCTCTTAATGAAAAATGAAAACTTCAACCTTAAGGCTTCATCAGAAATTCCATTAAGATGGAAAGAATCAGTGACTTCCATAAAATATCTAAGATGTTGTTGGGTTCAATGCTTTGTACTTAAAATGTTGTATTCAAGCTTTTTATTTCCTTTGTATTTTCCTTATATAAATAGGTTGATAACTTTGTAACCGACAAATTTGAGATTTTACTTTTGGAAGATCAATACACTTTAAGCTTTGAAGAATATTCTCTCTCTACACTCTAATTTTCTACCATTGTTGAATTCTTGAATCTTGATGTCAATTTGTATGATTGATTGAATCTAGGAATATCAATTGGTATCAGAGCAGGAAAAAAACAATTGGAGAATCATAATGCAATTGATTTTGGATTGAATTTGGATTGAAGAACAAGTTCTGGACTTACTATTTTTGGACCAACTCTTGCTACTATTTTGAATCTAATTTCTAATCTGTGTGTGTTTCTTGATTGGAATTTGAGTGAAATTTGCTCGAAATTCTTGTCTGAGCTTGATAGAATCGTTCAGTTTTATAATTGAATCGAATTAGAGTTTCAATTTTGTATTTTTTGTAATTCGTGAGTCTTGATATTGTTCTTGAATGTTCTTGAATGTTCTTGAGAATTTTGATGAATTCGACCAGGGTAATATGTTCTTATTAAGAATTAGTTTCAGAAACCTGTTTTTGGACATTTTTCGAGTCAATCTGTGCAAATATTATTCAAATTTGATTGATTTTGAGTGTATTTGGATTGATTTCTGCATATTTTGTTAAATTGCTTCTTAATCGCTTGTTGAATACATTCATCGAGCGATAAGGTGTTTCATCGCTTTTTGAACACTTGTGTTGTCCGATCTCTTATCTTCATCGCTTAGCTTTTTAGGCGATAATCCATTCATCGCTCGTTGATCATGTATTTTTGATCTCCCAAAATATTGATCGATAACCCTTTTTCATCTCTCACAGTATTGTCCAGTGAAGTCCTCGTTGCTTAAGTATTGAGCAATAAGTGTTTCTTGTCCGATAAAGAGTTGAGCGATAAGGAGTTGGGCGATAATCAAGAGTTCGAAGATAAGCAGTGTTGTCCAATAAGTAGTGTTGTTCAATAAGTAGTGTTGTTCGATAAGCAGTGTTGCCCAATAACAAGAGTTAGAAGATAAGGAGGGTTGTCCAATAAGAAGACTTGGTGGGCGATAAGTGTTGATGATCTGATTTTCTAAGTTTTGAACTGTTTTAAAAGAGCAAGTGTAATTCAACCAATTTGAATTGTTTGAGATGCCATTTATTTTAGATAGAGAGAACAAGGAACTTAAAGAGAAAGTTCCTGATTTGGAAAAGAAATTGAAAATGCAAAAAGAAAAATATGTAGAAATTTTCTATGAAAACCATTTAAATATTTGTTGGCCCAAAGGTATGGTAAATAAAATGATTAAGTTAGAGAAGAAAAGAAGTTTTTACAGGAACAAATTGGTGAACTTCTTTCTAATGGTCTTTCTTCTGATTATAAGAAAAGAAATGTTGAGCTGTTAAAGAATAACTTTGAATTAACTTCAAAGGTTTATGAAGCTGAGAAAGCTCTGAGTTTTGAAAGAATAATATTTGAGAAAGAAAAGAAGAGATAGTTGAACTAGAAAAGTTGTTAGAGTCTGAAAGGAAAGAGATTGAGAAAGAGAAGAATAAATTTTCTGATGCAGAACAGAAGTTTAATGCTGATAAAAGGATTTTTGAAAGCAAATTGAAATCTTTTGAGATGAAATCTGTAAAGCTTTCTGAGCAAATCATTGATTTTGAATAGATAGTAATTGTGGAAAGATCTAAATTTGAAGTTGAGAGGAAAACATCTGATAAGAAATGTTTGGAACTTTCGAACAGCATTGCTGCTATTCAAAAGAGTTTGGATGATGAGAGAAAATCTTTTGCTATTGAAAGAAAGAATTCAGTAAAAAATAATGTTATTTTAGCTAAAGAGTTAGTTGAAAAGAAGAAATGGTTAAATGTTGCTTCAGAGAATGAGAAAGGAGATTTTGAAAATGGAAGAAATGTTTTGAAAAGGAAAGAAGATTTTTTGAAAGTAAAATTGTTGAAACTTCAAGGAAACTATTTGAACTGAATACTGATCTTATAACTGAGAAGAATATGAGATATGATTTTAAAAAGAAATATAATTTAGTTACTGAAGAAAGAGATTGGTTGTTAAAGAAACTCAAAAAGTTTTCTAAAATAAGTACTTCAAGCTCAACTGATTCTCCTTCTAAGTGTAAAATCTGTATGAATGACTATTCAAGCGTTAAATCTAACAGTTACTTTAGCAGTTCAAAATCAATTGTTGCAAAAAATAAATCTCACACTTCAAATTAGTTTTGCAAAGGTTATGTCATTGATTCAGATAATCATTTTAACATAATGAAAAAGGTTTGGTTGAAGAAATCTGAAACAAAAGATGTTGATGGTAAGTCTTCTCAATATTCTGTGTGTAATGAAAAGTCATTTGTTTCTAAGACTACTTTACCCTATATTGTGGAGTCTACTAACCAACTAATCAGTCTTAGCAAGAAAAACATTTGTTGTTCAACTTGTGGAGCAAATGACTTTGTCAACAAGAAGAAAGCCAAAAGCTGGTATGGCAATGGTAAGAATGCAAACAGCTGATATGGAAATAGCTGGAATGACAATACCAGAAATGATGATAGCTAGTGTGGAAATATCAGGTCTGAGAATAACATATATGAAAATAATTGGTATGATACTTATTGCATATCTGATTTCCCTGTGAAGAGTTCTAAAGTGAAAATATCTTATCGGAACAGATTGTATGGTACATACAATATACCTCAAAAAACAAATTGGGACCCATGAAAGTATGGGTACCAAAATCTGTCTAATCTGTTTTGCAGGTTTGTCATGTGTTTTGCTGAATTCAGATACTCAATCACATGATAGACTGATGCTTCATTTGAGGGGGAGTGTATGAATTGCCACTATAGTTTCTGAACAAGTAAGTTCAGGACCTGTTCTTCAAGACAGCTTCTGAACAACTCAGTTCAGAACCTGGGTTTATCTGTTTCGAGGGAGTATAATGATTTTATCTTAGATACTAATTTGAATATGATAATCATTCCAGGGGGAGTATATGAATTTTATCTGATCTAATTTCAAGGGAGAGTAAGTATTTTTTTCATAACTATCTGAATAAAACATGGATACTTAATTGATATAATTTTTACAGGATATTTGAAGAAGTAAATAGTTAGGAGATGAATCTTTTAACAATGGCTTGGAAGATAAGAAATTTTATCCAAGGCTTGAGCGATGAAGTAGATCTCCGGACAAAGGCATGAGCGACGAAAGAGGTCTCCGGACAAAGGCTTGGGCAAGAGCTTCCGATCCGCCCAAGGCTTGGGAGATAAAGCTTTAGGGCACAAGCTTGAGCGATGAGCTTATTCATAATTTAAAACTTGAACATGAACTTCTTCATCGACCAAAGTATTGGGCGATGAACCTTCTTCATTTGACATAGTGTTGAGCGATGACTTCCCTCATCGAACATAGCGTTGAGTGATGACCTTTCTCATCAAACATAGTGTTAAGCGATGACCGTGTCTCATCGGTCAAAGGATCGTACGATGAAGAATCATAATTGTTTTAATCTGTGTGCTTTACTATGAACTAATCATATTTTGACATGTAATCATTTTTTACCATATATAAAGGGTGTTTGGATTCTCAAATCACTTTTTCCTTGATTAATTTATATCTTCATCTCTCATTATTACCTTCACCGGACGGACATCTTTCATCGATCAATTTTTCAAGTGTTCTTCTTCATCTTCATTGATCATTCAAGAACTGTTTTGACCTTTAATCGTTGGACTAACATTGGACTTAATCTCATTATCATAGAAGGTTTGTAATAAGATTTAAATCTTGGACTAAAACCTAAGTTGTGTTATTAGTGCTCATAATACAATTTAAATATAATTTGAATATGGAAAAGTGTGACTGATAAGGTCTAATTTCTGTGTGCTATGAGTGCTCAATTTGTTAAAAATATTGAATTTGAATAAATCTGAGTGATGAATGTTCTCACTTAATTCTGTGAGTTTGAATATGTTTTGAGCGATGAGTTAAAGATGAGTATTGAAAATGAAATTGTGCGATGAATGAGTTGAGTGATGAACATGTATTGTGCGATGAGTGATGTTCACGAGTATATGAGATGAGTGTGCAATGAGCGATGAGTGATATTCATGAACTTTAAGCGATGAGTGATATTTTTTTTGAGCGATGAGTGTTATTTTTAAGTTCGTTTTTGATTTTTTTTTTGTTTTGTTATTTGCTATTATTTTTTTGTGTGTTAGAATTTTTTTTGTTTAGTAATTTTTTTAAAATTTTATTTTTGAGTATTTGTTTTTATTTTTTTGTTGTATTTTATTTTGTATTTTTCTTAGTCTTGTTTTTTTTTTGTGTGATTTTTTTTTGTTTTGAATTAGAAAGAGTGAATGAATGTTTCTTGTGTTGAGAGACTTTTAAAATCAAATTTTGGCAAAAAAAAAAAAAAAGATTAAGTGTTGGAAATTGAGTCTTGAGTCAATTTTTCTTTGGAATTTGTTTTAATTGTTGATCTAATAAGTTTAACTTTTACAGGTTAACAAATGGTGACTGCAGAACATCACAATTCTTTTCACGAATCTGATGATGAAAACCCCATTCCATCAATCAGATCACAACTTCCATCTTATTCCCAGTCAGCAAGCACAACTGATCCCGATGAAACTATTTTTCTTAAAGCCTTATACCTTGACTTAAAGCCCAATAACCACCACTTAAACCTAGATAAGCTAGCAGAATACCCAATCATACTCGAAATCCTAA